CTCTCTCTCTCTCTCTCTCTCTCTCTCTCTCTCTCTTCCTCGAACGGTCGCCGATATTTCTCTCCCTTTCTCTATTGGGCACATCATCAGTCGCTCTTTCTCTCCCTCTTTCGGTTTATCTCTCTCGAACCGGCGCGAATACAACGGTTGCATGAACGCGCTACAGCGCCGTTAACGGGGACTTCCCCACGCGTCCGTCGAATACACGCGCAGATGCACATGCACATCCGTGGCATCGACACACGAGAGCGCGCGTACGTACGCAACGCAACGGGGCGAGCGGGCGTCATGCTAGCGTCGTACATACGTCGCATCGGCTGCAATTATAGCGGCGATGCTCGTAGCGCGTAGCGAGAAACGAGAAACGAGAAACCTGTGCGCGCCTGCGAGAGCGAGCGAGCGAGATTGCACGAACGCGAGAGTAGGTGTTCCTCCCGAGGCGAGCGCGCACACTTTTTCCACGAACTCGGCTATGCCGTGGGGAAAACGCGGAGATACGCGGAAGCTGTAATAAGCGAATTATGTGGGAGTATTCGCGACGGCGATCGATACGAAGAAATGCGCCGGGCGAGCGCCGTAATCCCTTTCGAGAATGCCGCGACGCCCACGCGGTGGAAATCGCCACCGCTCCGCCGTTGCTGCCTTCGCCCCCGTTCGCGGCGAATCGAATTCAAATCGATTGCGGAATGAAGTCATATTAACGCTCAAACAGCACTTTATTCAGCGGATAAATGCGAATTTGATCGGACTGTACTGGAGGTGTGCTGGCTTAAAAGCTAGATGCAAAGTCGACGAACTGCTCGAAATATCGCAAAACGCAAAAGATCTAAAAAAAAAATCATAGAATAGAAATATCTAATGAGATTCAATAGTCTAATGGATCGCGTAAAGTGTATTCGTAAAGAAAACAACATCTTGAAATTTTTAATTTAATTTACAAATTTTAAAGAACGTGAAGAACGCTTGGTGTAGAAAATAATACTCGTCGGAATTTTAATAAATGAAATTTATGTATTATCTTTCTCTCTTTCTTTACAATGACACATATTCGGTGCGTGATATAGAGTTCTATAGTCGTATCGGAAGTTCAAAGCGGGGTTATTTTGAGATGTTTAAAAAAAGTTGAATAACATCATATAGTATACATATAGTATAGTAAAGTTTCTATATAACGTTTGCTAAAAATAACAAATCCGATAGTAAAATATTAATGCGATCCGTTTTCCCGACGCGTCTATCGCTTGTTACATAAGAAAAATCAACGATCGAAATGCTTGTGCGTAAGCTCATGAAAATCGCCGCGGGCCATTCGGCTTTCTACTACATCGCAATTGGAAGAAGACGCGATTAATGAGCCGCGAGAGCGGCGCGATTAATATAAACGTAATTGTCGAACGTAAATTACGGGATGGAGGAAGCGAGAATGCACAGGCAATAAAACTTACGATATTAAATTCGCAATTTGGGCGATATTACATATGCACAATACGTGCGTACGGCCATCGCTTAACGATCATCTCTCTCTCTCGTTATAACACGCAGCATTCGATCACCGTGTCCGCGCGCGCGCGCACGCACACGCACACGCACACGCACACACACACACACACACACACGCACGCACGCACGCACGCACGCACGCACACACACACGTATACGAGATACTCGTGTACTCACGATTAATTACGAAGCCTCAACTCATAGTAGAAGCCGGCTCCGCGAGACTCCATCGCACCTGAAACACAGAACACATTATGTCATTAGTATAATAACGCCGAACAGCTTAGAACGTTATTTTTAACCGGCCGATGGGTTTAAATTATTAAGATGCGAACACGTGTGATCATTAGCGATTATCTTTTCATCGCCGTACATACGTTCGCTGAAAACGTTCGCGATCGCTATTCGTTATTGCGCATCCAAATTGTGAAATTTTGCGATCGAATCGATGATAATAAAACAAACTTCCCGTTTCTCGAGAGTTACTCGAGTTTCTAAAATTCACGTGTAATTCATATCTGTGAATCGATTTTGTCGAAGTGATGCTGCAACGACAATTCCAAACGCGGCTACAACTTTAAAACTAGTAATTATTGGAGTAGAGTTTCCTCTTTGAATTATGTAATAATGCTATTAACGTATAACGCAAATCACTTGTGCTTGTAGTAAGATATATATAGATTTAACAGCTAAAGATGTGTTATAAAAAAATTTATCTGAAGATGATTATTAATGCGGAATTCAAAAGAATTACTTAAAAATAATGCTACCCTATTCAAAGAAAAACAACTTCTCAGAATTCTATCGTCGCATACGTTGAATTTGCCACTAGAAATAGTCCAATATCTAATTATTTTAATATCACAATACGGTAGGTACATCGTTTTCTCCTCTCACTCATAGATAGTAAAATAGCGCGGTTGTCCGTCACAGTGATGAAAAATAAATGAAAACACTCCTCCGTCTATACCTCTGTAACGGCTGTCATAATTCAGAGCAGTCCGAAATTGAGACTAATTCCGAATAATTCATCATCATCACACATACGTATCGTAACAGTTAACTGGTCGAAAGATTCGTTGAAGGAGATAAGTGTTCGAATCTGGTATTCGTAACTATGCGTGCGCTAGCGATGCACGAAAACGCATCGTGCATATAAACCACATAGAATCACACATCCGTATCGGTATTCGCCACCCTTCCACTCCCCCTTCCCTTCCCCCTCGCTCGCTCGCGCTTTCTCTCTCTCTCTCT